TGACTAAAGCCATTTCCATTCCCATGGCAACATCCACCACCATCTGTCTTTCTTGGTTTCTTTCCTTGGCACCAAACCTACTCATCACTTCCTCATCCCCTCTGTTTCCTTCACCAACATGTCCATTCAGGTCTGCTCCGATCACCACTCTCTCCTCCCTGGGAATATTCTCTCTCACTTCATCCACATCCTTCAAAAATGTATCTTTCTCCTCACATCTAACCTGTGGAGCATAACCACTGACAATGTTTAGCATCAGACCTTCTACTTCTACCTTCAGGCACTTCACCCTATCTGACACTCTTTTCACCTCTACTATATTTTTTGACAACTCTTCCTTCAGGATCACCCCTACTCCATTTCTCTTTCTATCCACACCATGGTAAAACATTTTAAATTTCTGCTCCATTGCTGCAATCCTTGCTGCCCTTCTACTTGGTCTCTTGGAAACATAAAGCATCTACCTTCCTTCTCTGCATCATGTCAGCCAGCTCTCTACCTTTGCCTGTCACATTTAGTGTTTCTGCCCTCTGTCCTACGTTCTTGACTTTCCTCTTCTCCCTCTGTCTCCTCGTGGTCTTCGACTAACATTAGCACAATTTACGCCAGCACCCTTTTTGTCAGCAGTACCGGTGTCGGTCATTGTTAACCCGGGCCTTGACAGATCTGGTATGGTTTCACTTTGATGAACTCTCATTATAGTTTTAGCAAAAGTGTTTTATGCCAACTGCCCCTCCTGACACAACTCTCACCATTTACCTGGGCTTGGGACCTCTGAGACTATTTTGAAAGTTGGTTTTAAAAAACATTTTTGAGCATGCTCAATGATGGCCTTGTAGAAAATCTCGCAAACTCCCACAGATGGTTTGAGATACTCTGGCGATTCACTTATCAAAAGTGTTTGCCATTTGTCATCAACAGGAGCAGTCATGTGAGGTACTGGAATGATTTTCTCCTCATTGTCAGGATTTGATTGAACAGGAGATAAACCTTCTAGTAAGAAAATTCACCTGAAGTGTTGTGTGGTGCAGTATACATGAATCTTGGATCAGTATGTATTTTAGTTTTGGGGTCATGGTTTGGTACCCCTATGCTACAACTGGAAATTGATAAAAAAGAAATACTTGTTAATTATTTTTCTAACTTTTACTTGCTTTAAAAATGTTGTGAATTTTCCAACTTTAAACTGTCTCAATACAGAAACCGGTGAAATAAAAGATGTCTTCAAAAATGGTCTTTGAATTTGTTTATTGCAATAAACAGACGTCACACAGGATGATCCACACAGCCTGCGGAGGAAGTGTGTATAACAAAAAGTTTAATCCAGTTTTATAGCTTTGTTCATGTGATGACAAAAGACAAGGAAAATGTACCAGAAAGGATTTGTGCTCTGTGTTTTTTTTATATACTGGGCTGCAGTTTATGTGCTCCTGTTCCATTTACCAGTAGATTACACATGTACCAGTTACAAGACATCAAACACAAGATTGTTCTATTTTGATAAAACAGGAGATGCATGATTCAGCATGATTTCAAAACACTCTGAACATAGTATTTTTCCACTGTGGAGACAGGCACATACATATGAATTTTATATTTAAGGTAAAGTACAAACGTTCTCTGTAACAAAGTAAATTGAACTGTGTAAGAAGCAGAGAGAAAAACAATTCACTCTTGTTAGGATGTTTGCTGTAATGTACTGGGTGAGGTATCTGTCAACTGTTAACTTCACTATAAATTAAAAAAAAACCATCAGCCATTTTTTCTTAACATACAGTCAATTACATGATTGCTCAACTTTCATGGAGGTAGTCAAAAACTGGCATGAAACCTCATCATATTCTGTGAGATCGTTCATGATGTTATTCTTAAGATGTCACCAAAACGGCTACATCTCCATCATTTCTCAACACTGGCACATTTTTCCTCACTGGCTCTGTAACGAGGCGCATGCATTTCTTCCCTCTTCCTGTTCTCCTCCTGTTTTTTGCTCTCTGTCTGTGTATCGGTGCAGCTCCTATTTTGTACACATCTTCTGAAATGAAAACTGTTTTGGATTTGACCAACTGGACTTCCGATGCAAATGACAAAATCTTTTCAACAACGTGACAGTGTCCTAGAGAACCCTCATCTGCTTGGACAACACGCATGCAGCTGGCTGTTTTTTTTTTTTTCTTTCATTCAACCTTTATTTAGACAGGTTAATCTCATTGAGCCTCGAGGACTCATTTACAAGGGAGACCTGAATGTATCTTTGAGGGTGACATGTCTACTTCTGCTGTTGATCGAGGACGCCGAAATTGCATATAATTAGAGATATGATAACAGGTTTCCTGCTTTTGGAATATGCTGGATCCTGGTTTATCAACGCACAAAGAAGATAGCCGCATCTAATTTGGCCTTCGTCAGGCTGCTACCTATGTGAAGGTTGGCCCGTGCTTTGAGGACTCAAAATCAGCTGATTTATGAGCTAAACCGTAAGTTGGAAGTGATTTGAATCGCAATCCACCTGAGGCTTTGAGCCTCGTCAGCATGAAAACAACCTTGAAAGTCCATTTATTAGGCTAGCATTACGAATGTACAA